GCATTGCGAACTACAGTGATAGATTGCATTAGAATTATGACCGGACAGAAATGAGCAACTGTGAGATGGTTTGCTGATATGGTGTCCTTGTGATGTCGTTGTGTGTCCTCAAGAAGCGCTTCCCAGACCCTTCGTCTTGATTTCTTCAAGAAGCGCTTTCATCGCTTCATCTCCATCTGCAGCCCTCTTCTCAAAAGCCTTCAAATTATTCTCAAGCCACTTGTCGTCTTGCCCTGCAGAAGGTAGGAGGAACCCTTGCTCTGCGGCAGCAACGATACCCTCTGAGATACCACAAAGATGCAGCGCTGTAGGGTCATCCAATCGCCCAGGCACATTTCCATCAACGTTATCGTTAGCGGAGTTCGGCCTAACCACCTTGTTCCATATTTCAGTGAGGTCTAGCACAAGCGTATTCATCTTGTCTCTGTATTCTGGTCCGCGTGTTCGCAGCATCCCAGTGATAGAGTTTGTTTCTTGCAATTTGCCGGCGATGTAGTGAGGTCGCGAAGGGTGGAAATGAACATTCACGAAGATAGAGGGCGCATTGAATGTCTGGCAGTGCAGCTTTGTGATGGCGATGGCGATGGCGTCCTTCTGCGATGTTTGGAGCTCACAGTGGTGTTGAATTATGTATTGCGGCATCGTTCAAGTATGGATTAACGAGCTGAAAAGTATATGATAGGTTTAGATTTGGAGGATAGATTCGAGAGAAAGCTAAATGTCGTTACCAAGACGTACTCGTGATGGGTCGACATGATGTGTTGGTCTGTACTTATACCACTTCAGCCTACCGGTATTCCCGTTTCCCCGCTTTCGCACGAGTAACCATCTCCTCATGTTGTCGCTCAGTACAAGCGTTCCTCTTTCCCAGATCCACGTATTGTGTGACACTTAGCGGCTCATAGACTTTGAACGCTTGCATTATGAGGTCATTTTCGGTGCAGATCGACAGCCTTTCATCCGTATGTTGCTAGCGATCAGTAAACAGGTCATGGCGTGCCTAGGCATATAGAATATAGCCGTTTTGTATCATCATCCACAACACAACAGAGGGACGGACCATGCTCCAGGTACCATACCTTGAGTAGGCACGTACAAATCAGAGAGACTAGTAGGGTATCTCGATGTCATACTGTATACTAGATGTGGACCAATAAAACTAAACATAAGATTGTGGTGCTATCACAAGACTCACGAGAACCAACACTACTCTACTTGTCTTTTGCCACGTTAATACTGGTTTGCTAGTGGCGCTCACAGTTTGCTGTGGATATAATGGCTTAGTTCACAAGCTTCTCGCTTGTATCAGAATGAAATGCTTTGGGGGCACTACGCGGAACATAAATTCCTTGGACAAATCTCAATTGTATCTTCAGCTCTTCACCCATACTGTATGGGAAGAATCCCTCAGCAGTCGCGTTCTTGAAGAAGAATTCCTTCGCCGAGTCGAGCCTCTGGTCCTTAGGAAAGCGTAGCGCAACGGCATGTCTAAATTCTCTCGCCAGATGGCCCGCCATCTCCTTCTATTACTCTCCACCAACATTATTCTTGCCCAAAATTCAATCGTATTACCATCTCCTATGTCACACGTGTTCGTTTCTCGTACGCAGCCACTACTCCTTCTTCTTCGCTTCTCCCTTCTTCACCCGAACGCCGCTACCCCTGAAGTCATTCGCGTCTAGTGCTTCGCTCTTGCCCAGGCCCAGATCTTCAGCTTCCTTCTCTAGCTGTTGTTTCTGCTTCTTGGCAGCGGCGTTGAGTAGGTATGGCCGTATGAGGAGGTATGCGCCGACGATAGCGATAATGCGGACCCAACGCTGAGCGGTCATCTCTTCGAAGGACTTGATGGAGTTGTTGACCAGGCGGTCCTTCCACTCGCCCACGTTGTCGAGTATGTAGTCCATCTTGAGTATGCGATGCGGGTGATTGCGATCGTAGAGTGCTTGTGGTGATGCGATTATGAGCTTGTGGGAACTGTGGTCGGAGAGGCTTCTAACGTCTATGTCGAGTATTGTGTGTGTGTAGGTGTGTTTGTGTGTGTTTGCGCGTGGAAGGCGATGCCGGTGAAGAAAGTAATTGCGCGCAACAATAATAAATCACTCAAAGCGTGGACCGTCGCGTGGCAGAACCTGGGCGGTGACTTCCTTCCCGTTCATCACCGAGGCCCCGCTATCGGCCCGCCCTGGACGCGTCTGGTCGCGTCACTTCTCCAGTTGACGCCTACACGCGACTGATTGCACTTATTGAGCGACATGGCGTCAGATGATGGTGCCAAAGCAGAGCGCGAAGAGGTCAGAAGCCCATGTGCCAGGCTGTCAATAAGCATGTGCTGACAACACCCACAGCGACTCAAGTCAGCCCTGTGGTACTCCATCGGCCAGTTTGTTGACGAGAAGTCGTTGGAGAACGATCTCAATGCAACGCCACAGTTCATCGGTGCCCTAACTGAGCTTGTATACACTCAAATCGGTAAGATCGATCCGCCTCTTGACATGTCATTTAGCCCGAAAATGCTAACGTTACCCAGCAAACACAGCCCGCGATCTCGAGGTCTTCTCCAAGCACGCCGGTCGCAACACAATTAACCCTGACGACGTGTTGCTCCTCGGAAGACGTAATGAGCAATTACAAGGCCTGCTAGAGAGGGAGCTCGAGGACATCAGAGCAGCTGAGGGCAGGCGGGCTGACGGTCAGCCAGCAGCTCGCGCACAGCCAGCAGCACCCACAGCAGGGAAGAAGCGAGGAAGGCCTGCGGGAACTGGAAAAGGCAAGGCGAAAGCTTGAGAATGCTGCAAGATTGAGCCTGGGGCTTATATGAACTATTGATGCATTGGGAGTTTTGGAGTTGTGGTATGATACCCTCAAGCAAGCCTAGACACGGCGCACTTTGCACACATCTTACATACGCGGATAACAGTGAACGTCTGGAGAGCCTATAAATCATGCAATTCTCATATCCTTTGAGTATGCCTGTAGTTGTTGAGCCTGCCCTCAGTGCGGTCAGCAAGGCACTGCGACCAGACCCTGCATGCGAGGAAAGCGCCGGACCCAATCGTCCGTCAACAAGGCCGCGCTTCACAAACCCGTCAGATTCCCAAGCTACTTCTCACCACCACTGCATTCATCAAAATGCTCTACCTAGCAGTAGAAACAACGCGCAAGCTAACAAAAGCGATGAAACATCTGCATATCACTCCTTTAGGTTGATACAACTAGCTCTTCGTTCGTGGCTGCCACGCTGCTCCACTATGTGCATTCCCTTTATCTTTCTCATCTGCATAAAGGAAATGCTGATACCCTCAAATTCCACGTCAATTCTTTGTAACAAGCATCGAGAGGCTGATCCTTTTTCTCACCATCTTTACACATTATCGAGTCATCTGCCTTTGCCATGGATGCTCAGAGGCGAGCACCGTCAGTAGACATGTCGTCAATTCCGCTGAAGGACATGCTTTCACCGGCTCCGTCGTATAGCTCTACATTCCTTTCGCATGTCATTCCTTTCACTCCTCAACACGACACTCTTGCTGGGAAATCACAATGCGGCACATCAAACAACCCCTACTACCAACCCACCACGCCTGAGTCGCCATCCTCGATCCGTCACTCAAGCACCAGACCATCGTCAAAGAATGCGGAAGAAGCCCGTGTCAAGCCCGATTACCAGGACACAAACCATCCCCACTTTGCACGATCTGCTAGACCAGGCTTCCCAACCACACTTCCCGCACGAAGTCGAATGCCTCGGAAATGCATTCTTGTGCCGTGTGTACTATTTGCTGTCTTCTTTCTCGTAACGATATGGTTCACCTCAATCTTGCTTGGCGCCTGGTTCTTATCCATCGTTCACACCACATCGCCGGCTCCTACAGTGCAGGAGATTTATCTCTACATCGACGGAGAAGCCCCTCAGGGAAGCCTCTCTATATCCACAAACACCGTTGCCTTACCCACGAGTAATGTTACCCTTACTACAAAATCTCCGATCCCAACGGAACCGATAGGCCAAACACTGCCTGACATGAGCAAGGGCATGGACAGACTTTCTACGTCAAGCGAAAGACGCACTGTGCCAGCGCCTACGGGTTTTGCAACCATTACGAGAAGAGGACCATGAGGAAGACTTTTACGCCCATTGAAGCCGCCCCACTTCAGGCGCTGAGACAGCGCGTCATGGAGTGCAGCCTCATAAAAGGCAGCAGACTATAGGTTTATTTTGCAATATCAGCCGTTCGCATGGTTCATACGCCTTTTCTAGCATATGCCATTCGACGCCGTTCTCAAATTATCGTCTGCCACATCCAGGTCGCCTTGTCCAATTTTTCCGGATACTGAGAAGCCTTCTAAGTACATCTGCGAGGCTCGGAAGAAACAACACCGAATTTTTGAAGTTCGTAGTGACTCGCTGCAGGATCGTGCTCCCAGCGAACCGCTCCCAGAGACGTTTTGAAACATGCGGGTGCACATACGAAACGGCATAGCTAACCCAAAGCAGCCACTTTGGAAACGCTCGCTTCCTGATTTCTCCACCAACATGTCCACCCAATCTCGGATGGCACCTGTCGCATAAACAAGCATCGCGGACCATACCTAAGAAGAGCAAACTAGTCCTTCATCTAGATTTATTGCTGGCGTGTCGCTCCTTGGCATCTGTAAAGACGATGTCGTACCGTTCCCAGCGACTGGGATAGCGTGAACGGCTGTCAAGGAGGATTCCAGTCGGTTCGTCCTGATCTCCGGAAACCATTAATCTTGTTCCAGGCGCGTAAGTCAAGCAAAAGATCGGCATGGGATGAGTTTATAAGGTGCCGTTGTCCTTGCTATGCACACTTCATCATTCCAACGGGCCAGTCCTTTCTTTGAACACATTCGTTCCGGTTTTTACTACCACCTTCACTCTTTACCTTACATTCATTTTTCGTGATCAGGCATCACCAGCATATATTTGCAAATCAAGTCATTGTACATATCACACCGACAAAACACTTTCAAACTTCAAGATGTTCACCAAGGCCATTTTCACCAGCGCTCTCCTTTCCGCCGTCTCGGCTCACCAGAACATGCACCAGCTCTGGGTCAACGATGTTACTCCTGGTTACCAGGTCGGCATCCGGATGCCACCTTCCAACAGCCCCGTCACCGACGTAACCAGCGACGACATTGTCTGCAACGTCAATGGTGCCAAGGTCCCCTCCGGTGTTGAGACCGTTGCTGCCAACGAGGGTGACACCATCAAGGTTCAGTGGGACCAGTCCGGCCACCCAGGTCCCATCACCCACATGCTTTACGGACCCGTTGACGATGCTTCCCAGGCCACTGGTATCGGTGCCGGATGGTTCAAGATTGACGAGCTTGACAACGTTGACGGAAAGTGGGCGAACGAGATCATGGGCGCCAACAACATGACCCGCGAGTTTGCTCTCCCTACCGGTCTTGCCAGCGGCGAGTACCTGCTCCGTTCAGAGATGTTGGCCCTTCACGGCGCTCAGACTGTCGGTGGTGCGCAGTTCTACATTGCCTGTGCGCAGCTCAAGATTACTGGTACCGGTAAGGAGGGTGCTTGCGGACCTACCATTGAGCTTCCCGGTGCCTACAAGGCTGAGGACGACAACATCTACATCCCCAACGTCTACAACGGCTTCGACGCGACCACCTACAAGGCTCCTGGTGGCCCTGTCGCTTCATGCGGTGGTGCCGGTGCTGCTAAGCCATCTTCCCCTGCTGCCAACTCGACCGTCGCAGCTCCTACCTCTGCTGCCGCTGCGCCCACCTCTACCCTCGCCGCTGTCTCCTCTGTCGCTGCTGTTGCCGAGACCAGCTCCGCCGCTCTCCCTACCCTCGCCCCCGCCCGCCCCTCGATGAACGCTACCATCCCCAGCGCTTCTCCTGTTGCCCCTACCACCTTCGCCACTCTCCTCCGCCCTTCATCTGGCATCGCCGCCCCTACCGGTGCTGTTCCCTCCGGAACTGCTGGCGTTGCTAAGCTCTACTATCAGTGTGGTGGTGCTGGATACACCGGCCCTACCACCTGCGAGGGCACTGCCAAGTGCGTCGTACAAAACGACTTCTACTCTCAGTGCCTCAACAACTAGAGGGAGCTCTTGAAAGGGGATGACTGGAGGATAATGGCGGAGAGATTTGGAAGACTATGATTGGGGATACCTTCTTGATGTTCATGTATATACCTTGACTTTGCAATTCTAGTCCATATTACTTTTGTTCAAACAAGCTCCCCTGCGTTACAAGTCGCATTACTGCATCTGCTTTTTCCCGCCCGTTCATGCTGACGCTGGAAGAAGATGACGCAACCGACCCTCAGCCGTTGCCCAGAAGGAAGGGGCTTGTCTGACTGTTGGCTGAATAGGAAGGAACAAAGAAGTCGCGCATCCCTTGCTTCTTGTACAATGACGGTAGGCCTGACGGCTCCTGAAGACCACTTCCCAAACCAAGTCTTTGTTGTTTTTGAAGTCGAAGACGATCGCCTCGGATACCGAAAGTAGTGCCGAATGGTGATGGGGTGTGATAGGCGATGTAAGCCTGGATTCGCAGCGCGGGCGGAAGACCAGCAAGTGGCGGGCTTAGTGCGTGTTTCAGATTAACCTTATGTTTTGCAGGCCATGGTGGGCTGTTTGTGCAACCATGGCGGGCAAGTGAACAGCTGGCCTGGAATTTGTGGCTGCATACGCACGACCAGCATGCAGACGTCATGCGCAGTATCAGCATCCGCGATGCTACGGACTTCAGCGTCAATGCCGACCAATTGCTGGTCATGGGTGGGGGTCCAAAGTAGGACGTGTCGTTGTGGGCTCCTCAGTGGCTTCCCCGATGTTCAAGGCCGCAGCCAGGGTCGTGCTCCACTTCTCTAATTCACCAACCCACGTCGCTGTCCCGCTCCTAATTCCCCATCACCACCAACAACCACCGCTGCGCCCCCGGCTGCTTCCCTGACACCCGCACGATACTACTTTTTAATCTCTATTTTGTACACCTGCCCAGACTAAAACCCGCGTCGCGTCGACTGCTCCTGCCTTTCAAGATACCGTCCCGCGACCCTCAGTAGCCTACACCGCCAACCTTTGCAAACATGGCGGACAAACCAGAAAGACCCACGAGCTCAGGCAGTTCTGGCTCTGATAGTGTAAGCCATACCCATGTTCCGTGGGAAATGCAGGCAGCCATTGCGGTGCAAGTTTGCTAATATGTATGCGGCGGTGTAGGACAGTTTCGAAGAAGCAGCTGAGATTACCCCTCGCCCAGACTCACAGTCCGAACGATCACAGTCACGGTCACGGTCCCTCCTACAACGAGAATCTTCGACTTCAACAGTGCAAGCAGCCAAACCAGCGGAGCCTGCTCCTGCAGTGCCAAAAGTACCCAAAGAGGAGAGCGACGACGACGATGATGACGACGATGACGATGACGAGGAGGAAGAAGACGATGAAGAGGAAAGCGACGAGTCGGACAATGAACCTGAGCCAAAGGCTGTCGAGAAGCCTAGCGAAGACACACCGGCAGCCAAGTCACCACTCCTTACCGGGCACAGAGTGTCAGTCACATCGGACATGGACGACGTGTCTTTAGACAGCGGTGAGTACACCTACTGGGCTTGGAAGGAGAACTATGTGATGTGCGCGTGTAGGCTGGTTCATGCTTCCAGAGCAGGAGCCATCTGCACCCATTCACTGGCCCCACCTACATACGCGTCTGCATGCGTGAATGCATGTTGATCGCAAAACTGAAGCTGACGCTTAACAGAGGGCTCAAAAGCTGCCGGCATACTCCCCAAGCTACCACCACGAGATTCTCGAGATTCTACAAATTCCGCGAGCGGACTACAAGGCCTCTCTGGCAGAATGTCGCCCGTCAAATTCCCTCCGCCGCCCGCCCCACCTGCTGTACAAGAGAAACCCGCGCCAGCGCCAGCACCAACAACGACTAGAAAACTCACAGGTCCTTTTGCTTGGCTGTCAAGAAACAGCTCTAGCAAGAAACCTGAGTCTCCACCGGCGGCTACGACAACTGCGGAGCGACGGAATACTGGGGCGTCTATTGCAACTATCGGCAGTAATCCAGAGCTCACCTTGAGCAGGATCGAAGATGAGGGCGATATGGGCTCTAAAAACAGAACAAGTCAGGGCAGCCTGCGAGACCGTTTCAAGATTCTGCGAATGAGGGAAGAAGCGGGCATAACACTCAGCGATGAGACAGGTATAGATGGTAGTCCAACGGTGGCGCTAGCATCGCCAGGTATCGGGCTCGGCATTGCTAGCCCTCCGCCCACATCTGGAGAAGAGCCAGGAAGTCCTCCAGCTCTTGTGAAACAGCCTACGATCAACCCGAAGTTGGCTCCAGGAACAGCATCTGGATTCGCCGCTGGTCCGGCGGGAGACATTGCCGAGCCTGTAGATTGGGACCTTTGGCAGTCAGTGGTCAACGAAGGCCCAGCAGCAATTGCACGCACCAGTTCCGAAGAACTGAACCGCGCCATCGCAAGTGGCATCCCTCAAGTCATTCGTGGTGTCATCTGGCAAGTGTTGGCGCAAAGTAAAAGCGAAGAACTGGAAAGCATGTACAGGGAACTCGTAGCTCGTGGAACAGACAAGGAGTACATGAGCGTCAGCGCCAGCGCCAGAACGAGCACCCTCAGCATGGGAAACACTACTGGCAACGGAAAGGAATCAGTCGCTTCGTCTTCGTCTTCAGTGCACTCCGACTACTCGAGCCCGGCCACAACAGCTGCTAGTACCACCGCGCCATTGGGCTCGCCATCTCTCACATCGGAAAACGAAGATCCAATCAAGGCACAAGCAAGGCTTGCGGCGGAAAAGAAACAGAACGCCGCCACAATATCGAAACTGGAGAAGGTCATCAAGCGCGATCTGGGAGCGCGCACGAGCTACTCCAAGTACGTCATGGCAGCTGGGCTACAAGACGGTCTTTTCGGTATCTGCAAAGCATACGCTTTGTACGACGATGCTGTCGGTTACGCCCAAGGCATGAACTTCATCGCTATGCCTCTGCTCTTCAACGTAAGTTTCCATCTTCCTGATATTCACCGTCTGTAACTAACTTTGGCAGATGCCCGAGGAAGAGGCGTTTAGTCTCTTTGTGACACTGATGAACAAGTATGGCCTTCGCGACCTTTTCGTAGCTGACATGGCTGGACTTCACCTGCATCTGTACCAGTTTGAACGCCTATTGGAAGAGTTTGAACCCGCTCTCTACTGCCACCTCCGCCGGAGAGAGGTCAAGCCACAACTCTACGCCACTCAATGGTTCCTTACATTGTTCGCATATCGGTTCCCGCTACAACTCGTCTTGCGTATTTATGATCTCATACTCAGCGAGGGTCTTGAATCTGCGATCCTGAAGTTCGGTATTGTGCTCATGCAAAAGAACGCTGAAACATTGCTGGGTATGAAGGACATGTCGACACTGACAACATTCCTCAAGGAGCGATTGTTTGACGTGTACATCGACAAAGCTCCATCGGCTAATTCCATCCTTGAGAATGGCTTCTTTGGCTCGACTGCTGGCATCGACAAGGAGATCTATCGTGCTGATACTCTTGTGAAAGACGCCGTTTCTGTCAAGATCACGCCAGAAATGCTCAAGCAGTACACTGCAGAGTGGAAAGAACAGCAGCGCATAGAAAAGGATCGCGAGACCGAGCTCCACGGACTGAAAGATAAAGTCACACATCTGGAACAGAAGGTCCGATCACTGGAGCATCGCGCTGAGCAGTCGGATATGGAGCACGTTCAGGTCGCTTCTGAACTCATTAAAACCAAGGTCGAAAATGAGAATCTCGCCGACGAGAACGAGACGTTGAAGACAAAGGTCGAAGAGCTTCAGAAGATCGTCGACACCCAACCCGCAGAGGTCGAAGCAAGACTGAAGAACGAAATGGAGACTGTCATGCAAAAGAACATCGTTGTTCACAACGAGAACCGCAATCTGGAAGACTCGATGGCCGAGATGGAGAAAGAATTGGTTGATGTCAAGATGCAATGGGCTACAGTAAGTTCCAGTCTCCCGGTTGGTCTTATGTTGAGCACGGCTAACCAACCCTTCAGATTAACGAAGAGCACGAAGCACTCAAGCAAAAATGGAACAACATCTCACAGATGATGAAGTAAGCCCAATAGTGGGCTCATACTGCATCCAAGGCGTCGGGTTGACTTGCATATAGCACGCAGGCGCCGCCTCCCGTTGGGGATCAGATTTATTCTGTCGCGTCGATCGCCCTTTAATTCGCTTCTAATGTCTATATATACATCTGCTTTGCATAGGAATATCCTGCGCAGGGTTTTGTTGTGCATCTTGCTTCGGCATCGACAGTTTCGCGTCACTATCTATACCAGTGGCTTGCCAGGACGGACAAAGACACCTTCGGCTGGATACGACCAGAGTTTGAATAGCTTGCATGGCATGGGAGCAAGGTGTTTGGAATGGTGGTGATTGAATCGCATACGTCTATCTCTATAGACTCATGAAAAGGAGTTTCTCGCTGTGTTGTGTTGGCCTGTAGCATCTTATGATGGGAATCGAGTTGGTTAGACCATCAATAAAAGAGTACGATGTGACGCAGTAGGTATTCTTACGTGGTGAGGTCATTGTCATCAGTAATGAACTCTTCGCCTTCTATCACTCTCTAATCTGCTGTCTTTCCCTTTTGCTGCGCAAGATGTCCCTCTATGCCCGATCGGGTAGCTGCAGTGAAGCACTAGCACTCGCTTATCTTATCGTGAACCCTGCAGAAAAAGTTACGCAACCCCACAGTCGTTTCTGCGACACATGTCAACAACAACTCAATCACATTTCAAGATGACTGAACAAGCAACAGAAGAAGATATCCTCCTCGCCAAGCGCATCATTTCGGCGGCGGAGCGTCACGATGTGCCAGCGTTGAACATCCTGCTCAAGGACGGATCGGCAAACGTGCAAGACCCCACAGCAACAGTATCAACATCACCACTTCACGCAGCAATTGCAGCTTGTGGCAAGGCTGAGGATGGGAAAGAAGCCAGTGATGCCGCGGTTCAAACGGTAGAAACACTTCTTCAAAATGGCGCCATCTGGAACGATCTCAACAAAGAGGACGAGACACCAGGATGCATCGCTCTCCGCTTAGGCCAAAAGAAGATCTACGAGATGATGGTTGAAGCCGGTGTACGTGCTGAAATCCTCTTCGCTCGACTAGAAGCGCTCGGCATGGGCGACAATGATGTAGAAGAAGAAGCCGATGAGGAAGAAGACACAGAGCAACCTGCCGCCAAGAAGCAAAAGGTCTCGGAAGAAGACGCCAAAGCCATCGAACAGGTTGTCGAGGAAAAGGTTCTTGACGATGTCTCTCTTGACAACAAGGCCTACCTTAGAAGTCAACTCCGCTACAAACCCGGCATTCTCCTTGACGAATCCGACAACGCTGTCATGATGGACTGGGAAACGCAAATTATGCAACGCCATGCCGAGACTCTGATCCCTAAGAAGGGTCTCCGTACTATGAACGTAGGCCACGGAATGGGTATCGTGGATACTGCTATTCTTACGCACGATCCTGCAGAGCACCACATCATCGAGGCGCATCCACAGGTACACCAGCGTCTCCGTGAGCAAGGCTGGTACGACAAGCCCAATGTCAAGATTCACGAGGGCCGGTGGCAAGATATCTTGCCTAAGCTGGTAGAGCAGGGCGTCGTGCTAGATGCAATCTATTACGACACCTTTGCTGAGGATTACAAGGCACTCAAGGAGTTCTTCGCCGAATATGTGGTTGCGCTGCTGGCCAAGGATGGCAAGTTTGGTTGGTACAATGGACTAGGTGCTGATCGCCAGATTTGCTATGACGTTTACACAAAGGTATGTCGCTTCGCAGTTGGATATTCGATGGGAACTGGTTCTAACGTTAGGACAGGTTGCTGAGATGGACCTCTACGAGGCGGGTTTCGATACCGAATGGGAGGAGATCAACGTACCATCTGGTCTGCATGGAAGTGATCAGTGGGAAGGAACCAGGAGGCCATACTGGACAATCGACATTTATAGGTTGCCTGTGAACACTTTCGTCAAGTGACGGCGACGTCGAAGAAGGAGGAGAGCATTGACTACTTGGCGATGTTACGCCTGATCGTCAAGGAGACACCGGCGAGTGTCACTCTCACAATGTGGCAATGACGATCTATGCATTTGTTTTTGCTAGCAAAATCTAGCTACAGCAATCGAAAATCATCGGATATTATAGAAACACTTCGTGGCAGACTGCCATAGAGGGCGAGTCTTGACCTCCACAACAGAAATTCCAAGTCGAACGAATAAATCGTCTCGTAACGCTATGACCTATATTCGCTGTACTTCTACAGATCTTCATCTTTAAACCTCACATCCAACACCTGACCGTCCCCTTTCTGTCCATGGAACGCGGCAATGACCCTTTCCGCATCATCCTTCATAGCAAATTGCAGTTCGACAACCAGCGGATCGCTGCTCCGAACAGTCCTTCCGAGTATGTCATGATCGCTGTGAGGGCGCATGATGGTTTCTACGTCCTCAATCGTGGTGCCAGAGATGAAACCACGAGCGACAATTGTGTGTGGTCCGTCTGTGGAGAAGCTAGCGGGCTGTCGGCGGGTATCGGTATCGATGCCTGCAACCAACGGGACTGTACGGCTGCCAGGTACCTGCTGGTCCTGGCTGGAAGAATTCGCTGCCAGTACGGGTTCTGCACGTTGGTCTGTTCTCTCGCCGTTGCGATGTGCTGATGGGGTAGCAGTATTGAAGCCGGAAACTCCAGATTGGCCGTCTGTCAGTGTATTTTCCTGGATGCCTTCTTCTTTGGTGTCTGCATGATCGCCTTGTTGATTTTCCAAAAAGTTGGCGTGGCTCTCATCGTCGGAATGGTGAACCACAGGTACTGCAACGTCGTCGAGTTCAGCACCATCTATCGTACCAATCTGAGCTGCTTCATTAGCAATGATAGGTACCTCCCCATCGATTTCATTAGGCAGGCCGCCTGTGAGTTCCCGATCGTCGCGCTGGTCATTTTTGGGGCCTTCATCATCATTGTCCTCCCAAGCGTCACCGTCATCGCCAAAGTCTTCCTGTAGTGGAGGTGGAGGAGGGTGGGCAAACTGGTCGAACGTGATACCTTGGGTCTCGAACAACGTGATGCGGAACTGATCTAGAGCGTCTTCGCGAGGCCCGTGAGGAAGCTGGTTGACCAAAGCGCGCTGGTCGGGTGTCAGATGTTGCAGGACTTCCCACTCAGGATCCTCATCCTCATTATCTTCGTCTTCGCCTTCTTCATCGTCGTCTTCCTCATCTTCTTCACGACGACGAATCATGTCTTGACGGCGAGTAAGACCCTGTCGGTTGAGACCACTTTCTCGATGGTAACCGTCCTGGTTGTATCCTTCTTCATCGTAGACGGCGGGACCGTAATGCGGGCAGCCGTGGAGACCGGGCCAATCCTTGCCGCAGATATAGCAGAACGAGCTACCGCACTCACAAGTGATGTGATTGCATGCCTCAGCCAACTCTACAGTCGCGCCACAGACAAAGCACTCTTGGTAACCTTTCTCATTGGCTGTCTGCTTGAACTTTTTCTCGTCCTCGGTTTGTTTGCACTCATGGTTTTGGGTACCGTCTACGAGCAAGGCTTTGCATTTTGCGCAAGTCAGCTTACCGCATTCTTCAGAATCGCAGATGGCGTAGGTAATCTTGGTCTCTTGGTCCTCCACGTGCGATTCGGGGTGTAAGAACTTTCCACAGGCTGGGTTTGCGCAATAGACACGAAATCTGCTTAGTTCTTAGCCTGGGTTTATCATGTGGGTATATAGTAAACTTACTTTGCCAGAATTGAATACTCGCCCTGCTGCTTCATCTGATACGCCCACGCAATCTCGAACGATATATAGTCCTCGTAATCTTCCAGCATGAACATTGTTTCGCAGCACTGTGGCGGGAAAAGGCTCTCGTTGTTGGTCGCATTCTCAAAAAAGCTTCCGACATCGTCAGGGCAGACCCAATGGCGACCGCAGGGTGCTTCGAGAAGCAGCTCGCCTTCGCTCTCCTCAGTCCCGCAGATTACACAGCTCTTAGACATGGTGGCTGTTATTCAGATTGGAGGGCGTGTATTTCCAGTGATTGAAACGGATAGCAAGAGAAGAGATTGTCTTTTGTAAGACTGTGAGTGAGTTGAATGTTCGGTAGATCAAGCTCGGTACCGATGTAGAAGCACAGACGTGTGGGAGTTATGTAGGAAGAAGATAATTGGCGGTCTTGAGGCAGCTAGTGCTAGCTCGGGATATTCACTGTAAAGATAGAGTGTGAGGAGTGAGTGTTCATAGAGTAAGGTCCTACTCCTTAGCTTAGGACGCGGTGTCAAAGAAATCCTTGCGCGCTTGCCCACACGTGGAGACACAGTCGGTGACTGATTCACGTGAGAATACAGCAAGCGAATTAGGGGAGAATTATCCACCCGTGACGTTGGAATTTTCCGTCACCTCCTGGTTTGAGAGTTAGAGGATTCGATCAGAGTGCGGATGGAAAGGGAAGGGGAGATTGAATTAAGATCAATGAAAACGAAATTGAGATGTGAATCGGATCTTCAGGAGTCTTTGAGCGATGCTTGAAGTTATGTGCTTTCTAGTCCGTACTTGAGATACCTATATCGGGCTAACCGCAGGCAGCCGTCGGCCGGATTTGATATTTAGCTCGGAAATCCATGTATGCAGCCTGGCTAGGTCCACACATATATAGCAAGAGTACAGACTATCCAGGCAGACTTTGCATGCGGAATGATGTAGAGTGAGCGCTCAAGGGCTAAGGCGATGAATGTGTGGTGAGGGAAGTTTCGCGGCCTCATTCGAGAGTTCCAGGCAGCTTGACCGTGCACGGACGCACAACGAGCTTGGGGTTCTTGACTGCTGCCTCATTAATTCACCCACGCCACATCCGAATTTTGCGCAATGCTAAGGTCAGCTAATGGGCGCTCAACTGAGCGATTCATCGAAACTTCTAAACTGAGTTGGTCGCTCCAGTTATTGATAATGGCTCGAGTTTGCATAATATAAAGATATTTAGAGAAATCTATTGTGAGCCTGTATACGTTCTTTAGTTAAAAGAAGTTCAAGGTAATATATTATATACACAAGAATTCTGTAAAGCTACGCCTTCTTTCTAGGCACGGCACATGCGTCCATCTTTGCTGACGTTCCAAGCCTCGCTACCAACACCCTTGAGGATGTAGAATACATCCTGGGGGTCGTACTTCTTCTTGATAGTCTTCAGCTTGTTGTAGTTGTCTCCAAAGAATGTGCTCTGCCAGTTCGGCTGCTGGAAATCGGCTTCATTCAGGTATGAGCCACTGCCCGGCGTGATCTTTTCGATCTTGGGCATAAGCACATTGGTCATCTTCTGCTGGGCAGCCTCCATGTCGGCCCAAGGAGCAGTGGAGTCCCAGTTGGTAATAAGCTGCAGCTGAATCATAGCATTCCTCCATGCTGGTAGTACACCATTGTCGGCGGCTCCCTCGGGCTTCTGGTAGTTAGCTGAGCTACCAGCAAGCAAGACACCTTCGGCAGCAAGCTCCTGGTAAACCCTGACGAGTTCCGCAGTGTTGTTCTCCACCACATCTCGGGGGATAAGACGGCCACCGAATTGATATCTGTTGACTTCATATGCTCCACGTGGGAGAGGACCCATGTAGCGATCGAAGTGGTCGCGGTAGGACAGCTCGCTGTAGACAATTGGCGGCGTAATGCCAAGATCTGTAAGAGCTTTGGCGTAAGGTGCGAGTACAACGTCCTTGACGTAGGCCGCTGTTGAGTCCCAAACCGTGACGGGCTTGATAACGATGTACTGAGTGCTGACCAGGAAGACCACCATGGCACCGGCATCGATCATGCCTGGTAGGAGCTCGATAAGCTTGGCAGTTGCTGCTGCGTATTTCTCGGGGGTGGTAGATGACGCTAGGAGTTGCATGGCAGCACCACCAACCTGCTTGGCTGGGTATGCTTTTACTGTCAACGAGAGGACGACGGCATATGTTCCACCACCACCGCCACTGAGAGCCCAGTACAGGTCAGTGTTCTCGGTTGCTGAGGCAGTGAGCATCTTGCCTTGAGCAGTAACGACCTACAAAGACATGGTTAGTGTTGCTCTTGGTTGCTTATAGTATAGAGCTTCTCACCTCATAGGACAAGGCCTGGTCGGCACCAAGACCGAAGGCAGTGCTGAGGACGCTGTGGCCACCGCCTTGGGTGAAACCACCCGCCAGGCCAACTGTAGCACATTCACCAGACACGACGGTCATGCCCTGCTTGTTTACTGCCTCAAGCAACTCGTTGCCCATGACACCGGCACCAACAGTGACCGATGGGCCAGTGTAGTGCTCATCCGACCAGTCACCGAAGGTGATGCTCTTCAGACTTTGCGTCCAGATGGCAAGAGCACCAGCTCCGGTAGACCGTCCCAAGAAATCATGCCCAGTGTTGCGAACAAGAACACGGATGTTCTCAGCTTTCGCAAACTCGAGGGCAGAGATGACATCCTCTGCTTCAGTGGCTTTGACAGAGTATGAAACATAGTTGCCAAGAGTGCAAGGGATGCTCCTATCGGAGAATGGATCGCAGCTCTGGTTGGCGAAGTACGATTGCATGATAGAGTGGGAGGACGGGGTGCTGCCAAGAGTTTTAGAGTTCTGTCCAAGCATGTGAACGGAGCTCCTGCACTTACTGCGTTAGAGGGTTCAGCCATTCTGCCTTCAATGCGTCGCAAGCATCGGCATCGTATGTCGGATCGTGACAAGGCGACCCGATAGGAACAGTAGCCACAAGCTTCCCGTTTACAGTCGAGTTCAAGGTCGACCATGCCTCAGTGGATGGCCAATCAGCATCACTTGGCAAACGGTAACACTGCTTGGCATCCCCAAGACGAGCGAGAAGTAGAGCCCCAAGGAGGGGTGCGTTGTCGACGAGTCTCATCTTGTCGTGAAAGTACTCGATGGTAGTGATGGATACCAAGAGACTTGACCTGGGCCTCATATATACCCATTGCTCCCCTTACTATTCTCTTCGCATTGCCACGAACTATTCTTCTCATCTCGGAGACCATCTCAAAGAAGACGCCTTAGCCAACGTCTGCTTCCTCTTGTAGGATGCAGCGCCGACAGAGTCCACTTGAGACACTGTGCCACACGCCGATAGCATTGCAAGGTGTAGCCTTGCACTGGGCTGGAAGCCGGCGAAAACCTCGAGCGGCAATCGATGGCCGCAGACGCGGTGATGCTACTGCAGGGCATAGTGGGTCAACACAGCAATGGGGGGATTCAACCGGGCGGCCTGAGGCTTAGAGTGGACCCTTAGCCATGGGTTCCTGATAGGATTGGGAGGCGTGAAACTATAGGATTCGCATGTGAGCGGTAGGAATGCAGCGACAGGAACCGGACACGCGCGCACATCTTGGCAAGCGTCTTGGTGCGTTCGGGATGAACGCTCGTTTCGGCAGCCGTGGAGCGAGCAGAACTGTCCAGGTGCGCACCAAACAACGATTGTTGCACTGATCAACTCCACGTGCTCACCCGCCTCCATTATTGCGCAATGCTTATCATGCCCTCCTTGGGTCACACTTTTCACGTCCAGCATTCTTCTTCGTTGACCGTGGATCTTGGACGCCTTAGATCGGGTTTTACAGTGGCTTTCGGTTGGCGTGTGTGGCGTTCACCAGCCCATGACACACCGGACCGCTCCCCACATACTGCTAGAACGGCTTGAACGCTACCATGACCCCTTTCTGGATGACATGCCGCCGACCTTAGCTGATGTAACTTCCGACCGATTATGCGCCAGCGCTTCTTAACAAAGTTTGCGCTATCGAAATGCCATGGTCGGGTAGGCTTCTGCAGCCGGCAGTTCATACCGATAGAGGTAGCAAGCTTGATAAACACGACTCGCGGGTTTCAGTGTTGGACCTTGCAAGATATGCACTATAAACCGCACGAGCGACCCCTGCGCACATCATATCCCAGGAACACCTTCCGTTTCGAGGCGGGGGATAAATGGTAATACATGTCCCGCTGTCAGTTTACCTGAGACTTTTCTGCGAATTCTTGTGCGCCAGCTACAGATCCGGGCTTTAATCTCCCTGTACTTGTCATCCGAACAGTCGGGTCTGGGAGCATCAACATGATTTCTCTTTTCCGCAAATGCATTCTGCTGTGGCTCGCTACCGTCTTCGTGGTCACTGCAGCACAGCAGACTGCTCTGTCAGAGCTTCCGGATTGCGCTGTAAGTAAACTTCACTTTTTGAATCTCAAATTGATTGCAAGTCTCTTACTGATTGCTGCAGCAAATCTGCCTTCTAAAAGCTTTGGGCACAAACACCTGCGCGCCAACAGATCAAGCCTGTATCTGCACCAACGAAGTCTTCCAGAACAATGTAACATTGTGTGTAAGCAGCCGCTGCACCATTCCTGAAGCTCTAGGTACTTTCATCAACTCGACAGAAGAGGGCCAACGACTAACCAGTGTAGTCACACGAAATGTCAGTCTTACCAACTGCGGTGCACCGGTGCGACATCGTGGAGAACACTACGTGACGTTGTCAAACGCAATGGTATGCATTGCCGCTGCCTTCGTTGTGATCCGTTTCGCCTTCAAGGCCACCGTGTCGAGACTCGACTTTGGCTACGATGACTTTTGCGTCCTGGCGACGCTTATAGCCGCCATACCCAGCGCCATCATCACTGTTTTCGGTACTGTAAAGAACGGACTTGGTCAAGACCTTTGGGCCTTGACTCCAACGGAGATCACCCAGATGCTGCAATACTTTTACATTATGGCGTGGCTGTACTTCCTCCAGCTCACGCTGCTGAAGCTCACTCTGTTGTTCTTCTACATCCGCGTGTTTCCTAGCAAAGAAGTCCAGCGACTGTTATGGGGTACTGTCATCTTCACTGTACTCTGGGGCTTGGCCTTTATCATTGTTGCGGTATTCCAGTGTCGGCCGATTCACTACTTCTGGACGAAATGGGACGGTATGCATGAGGGCACTTGTCTGGAGATCAACGCCATCACCGCATCAAACGCTGCTATCTCGATCGCTTTGGACTTCTGGATCCTGGGTATACCTCTCTGGCAGCTTTGGGGGTTGAAGCTACACTGGAAAAAGAAGGTCGGTGTAGCACTTATGTTTTGCGTCGGCACTTTCGTTACCGTCGTCAGTATTCTGCGTCTGCAGGCTCTGGTGCACTTCGCCGCTTCCTCGAACGTAAGCTGGGAGTTCTACGACGTTTCAGTGTGGAGCACGATCGAAATATGCGTTGGTATCATGTGGTAAGTTGTGTTGTCTCAACCGTCATCTTTGCACATGCTAATCTATCTTTCAGCGCTTGCCTTCCAACACTCCGCCTTCTCCTGGTTAAACTCTTCCCTATCCTTGGAGGCTCCTCAGTACGCAGCCGTCAACAGTACTACAACTACGGCAGTGGCAACGAACTCAAGAACGTTAGCCAGAAACACAAGTCATACAACATGAACACTAGCGCTGCTATATCGAGTCCTCGGACCGAGTCTTTCGACGATAAGATAGAAGACGGCATTAGGGTCAAGACCTCCTACATGGTAAAGCATAGTCATAGTGACACAGATGAAGCGAGCCTAGTAAGCCATGAGGGACCACAGAGGCAGTAGGGCCGAGGTTGGTCGCGCGCGTCCGAATGTAGTTTGAATCAAAATGATATCTTCCACCTTCTGAGCACTCTTCGTATACGCACATGTCACTTGAATGACTACAGGTGCATGCCGAAACCTTCTTGAGGCGTACTTCATCCTCAAACAGCTACCCGCCGAGTGTAACTTCCCATCCGGGTGGTAACTACCGTGATCGACACGCGTTGAAGCACACACCTCTCGTTTTCTGGGTTCACCCATCGAAAGGGTAGCGCAGATCACCGGAATATCACCGATGAACCTCGTGGAAAATCACACTAGTATGACAGGTCCACATGTCGGCGATCTCTGCAAGCGACATTGCGAAGAATACTAATCGAAGAACAAATGGCGTCTTTAGTTCAGGGTGTTGCCCGGGTACGACAACGAATTCCATCATCGTCTTTCAGGCAACCATACTCAATACTACTGTAGCCATCGCATGATTCACAATGTATCCACAATAGGAGAGAACATGACGGGAATACGGTGCGTACTCACGGTGGAGTAAAGCCGATGAATCGCAAGTTTGCCATAATTCTTGGTTGCGGCATCTTACGAGCCACGAATTCTAGATGTGGGGCCGACGTCTGGATAGCCGAGTTTCGGCTATCCGCAGATAGACACTGCTAACAGGTGCTAACAGGTGCCAACTTTCGCTAGCACGTGCACTTCGCTTCTGAAAAGCTGAACATTACTCAGGATTAGGCTGAAATTATGTTAGACATGCACCATCAAATCGGCCGACTTTCCAGACAGTCCGCTCTTGCAAGCTCATTGGTTGCGTCTTGATGGAGCGTCATTTGTGACAAAAGTACAGCCAATGACCATTGACCAACGAACCTCGGCCTCCAGCAAACTCAACGCCACATCTCCGTTATTGCAGTGACGAAAGAATCTAGGAACTAGAGAAAATGTGGCTGGTGATTGTGCGTCCGTGCGTTGTCGTTGCATTGCGGTGGTTGGGAATGACCTCGAGGGTGTCGCTGTTGAAGAACACGCGCGTCCCGACTTTGCACTCTGACTTTCGTGGTAAAAGATGAGTATGCCTTGCGAAAACTCTGCAACAGAAGGGTGCACTGCTCCGTCGTGGGTGCAGTAATGTGGAAGAAAACAGCGCATGTTGCACAGCACTTCACGTGCTCGAAGTGGGAGAAGTCCAGTATGTCTCTTCCACAGAAACAAGACTCGGCTTCCCCACGGTACTTCTCACAAGCTGCTCTGATCACGGTCGCATCACCTGGGCTACTAAGCTCAGCTGTAACGCGGATCACCCGCTGTTAAGCTAGCCGTTTTTCCCCGTAGTACCCGTCCTGAAAGTGTAATCCAAAACCCTCTTAGCACTGTCATACCTTTGTACTACTTGAGGAAGACTGACGACAAATTTCCACTTTCGCAAATAAGATCGACAAGCACACCTGTCGCTCATGCAACGCTACCAAGGGCTGAAGCTCTTGACAGCGTCAGCTGACGAGTAATTTCATCCACCACAACTGTGAGGATTCGTAAGCTAATCACCGTGCCTCGCGACACCATTGACAAAACTGTCGCCGATTTGCATCAAAAGTCTTCCATAAGCTTCAACGGTGCTTCACATATTCGTGACGCAAACCTAAAGCGCAAGGCTCTTGCCGAAATGAAGAAGAAGAGAGTGAAAGCGTCTCTCCACAAATTCAAACTTTCGCCGATGAATGATTCGTGCGTCGTAACAACAATCGGTGCATCAAACATAGCCTTTAGTCCGACATTCAGCGACTATGCTGCTTCTCGCTGTCACTGTTGATCTGCAGAGTACCATCGGGAAGAGGCACAGTGAGCATCCCAAAGCAGGAGCAAGTTTCTCCTCTCAACAATGCAGACTTGAGCGCAATTACGAGACCGAGTGCAAGACAACCGAGGTGCCACTCTCGTTCTTCCTTCCACTGCGGCTTCTACTACACCCTCCAGTCTACCTAGGTAGCAACGATACCATGTTCCCAACATTCTATGTGCGATATATCACTCTCACCGTCGCTCTAAGCCTTTCATCATCCGTCCTTGCTACTGTCATGGATGCGGGAAAGTCAATGTCGCTCGAGTAGTGGCGAGTAGACGTAAGCTGATTACACATGCCAGACGAGCAACTGCCATGTCTTCGTGTGCAATAAAGTCAATTTTCCAATGACCATATCAGAACGTTGTGGAAGTAAGATCTTGAATGCTTGAGCTTCTGTAAGACTTGTTTGACCAGATATATCGTGATTATAGGGTAGATGGTTGCCAAGATACATCCGTTGGAGGCATCATCAGCCCTGGTATCAAAGACTTAAGGGTATCTGGTGATTTTTGGAAAAAGCCCGCTTCCTATCCCCGCTTATGGTTAGATCGAGGGGTTGATTACTTCCGGTCAAGGCCGTTCTGGAGTTTCATTTCCAGTTTATTGTAAAGGCTGCTTCAACGCGTTTTGTTCAGTCAAACTCAGTACTTGTTTCTGCTGATCTCAATATCCTACTGGTAGTCTAGAGCCGAGCCAGACAAGATCGAAAGAGTACATGTACCAGGAATGGACAAGAACGACAAGTCCAGACGCCACAAAAAAGAAACGACTAAAATTCAACATAAAAGAAGACGGCATGTTAAAAGAGTAGATGAAGCAATTCGATTAGGGGAAAGATTGACCCCAACGTTCAGAGATAGCGTCCTTCGTTGTATAGTCTGTAGTAATTGAATCAGATCTTCTAGTAAGGACTTTGCTGCGCAAAGTACTCCATGATCAGAGTGACCTTTTCCTTTTCTGCAATCTTCGTCGCGCCAAACCCATCACCAACACGCATAACCGTCTGGCTCTCTCCATCGTTAGGCACCCAGTGTGTCAGATTAGATCCAGTCGAGGTAGCAACACCATTAGGATCAAGATGTTTGATGAAATTAGTCCAGTAACTCGACATGACTTCTCCGAGATAGTAATCGTAATCTGTAAAAGTGTATTTGTCGGTGTTGGCATACAGCGCATTCATAACATACATGATTTCAGATTGATGAAATGCGCCTTGATCTTGACCGGGGGGAGAGTGGTCCCAGTAGTATGTGTAGAAGGGGGATTTGGCTGTCTTTACCCATTTGGTTCCGAAAGCCCAAGAGGAGACGAGGGAATTATCTGTGGCGGCTTTGCGCCATGCAGTTGAGGCGGTGTCTGTGGAATTGCCGGCAGGGTAGAGTTCCAAATATCGCGAAGTGAGGTTACCGTATTTGAGAGGGATGTACTCGTTATACTCGGCAACGGTATAGCTTGTCGTCAGTTCTGCACCGCTTTCGTCGCGTGTGTTCCCTGTCATGAGGGGCACGTCATTGCCAGGTCCGGCGTGAAGCTGGTCAGTGTAGCGCATTGGGATTGCATAGCCGTCAAAAGCGGGCTTGAATTTGAGTGGATAGCCGGCGGATAAGGCTGTTACCCACCAGATGGATTCGTTTCCGACACGGTCCCCAGAGCCGACTAAGAGTTTAGCAGTCGATAGTTTGCGGAGCTCAGCGATGGAGGATACGTTGTGGGCCGCTGTGTAATTTAGGCCATTTTCGACGGCGGTTGACATGTTGACATATGAGGTTGCTAAACCGGCTAGAAGGGTATCGTATGGGTATCTGATACCACTCTGTGAGATTGCGGCTCGGAAATAGCCCGAGAAGAGGGGACTGTTGACAGCATGGTAAACCTGACCGGAGCCGAAGGATTGGCCGGCAACAGTGACCTTGGTAGGATCGCCTCCAAACTGCGCAATGTTCTTTTGAATCCACTTGAGCACCTCAAGCTCGTCGAGAATACCATATGTACCTGAAGTGTTGTACCCGGTAGCTTCAAAACCTTCGGCATTCAACTCTGGGTGGGCAAGATACCCGAAGGCGTCGTCTCTGCGGTTGAATGTAACCACGATGATATCCTTTAGCGCCATGCCTCCGCCATACCACCAGGTATTGTCGCTTGACTCATCGCTTCCTTGGTTCCAGAGGAGAACGGGATGGGAAGCGTTGGCAGTGGCAGCGTTTGTCCAGATGTTCAGGCTGAGGCAATCTTCACTGTATGAGTTTGCATGAGTTACAGGGCAGGCTGGTCCAAACGTAGATGCATTCAATGTTTCGTTCCAGGGTTCGCGTGGCTGAGGTGCTTTCCAGCGGTTCTCGTAAGCAGTGTCCGCAGCGTATGGAATACCAAGGAAAGCAGCTACATAGCTCGTGGAGCGATTGAAGTACGTTTCGAGTTGCGACTGATTGAAGTACTGGTAGCCTTGAACTGGTCCATATGTTGTCTGAATGATTTGATCATAAAGTTGGGCGTGGGAAGGAACAATCGATGAAATTGAAACGAGCGCGGCTAAAACCGAAACAGGTGATAGGCGACTCATCTTGGGAATGCAAAGGAAGACGTTCGTGAAGAGAGGATGACTGGATCGAGATATGTAGTAAATCGTTATCTTAAGTTATACACGATTCAGACTCAGAATGACTTCCCTACCTCTTGGAGTCAAAAGGCCATGTGGGTAACTTGCGTACGTCCGCTGCGCCTTGTGCAGATATGAATGCATTGCGTACTATTATTAGCAAATGACTAGTGGTTACGTACTAACCATCATAACGGAGGCATGCACCCTTATTGCTTTGATAGCTAGACGGGGTGTATACACAGTAGTGGTAAGTGTCTGGGATCTGCGTTGAGTATGTTGCGTAGCTAGTTCAATTAGGTCGGGCCGCTTACTGCATCTGCAGAGCAACCGAGTTATCGACGCGACAGCCTCGTGGTTTGACATACAGTGAGGGTCATAGGGTGACGAAGCCCTCAGAGAGCGAGAGCGAGAACGAGCAAATAGAGCCTCAGCTTGAGCATCTGTTCTAAACTCTAGTGCCCGTTGTGGAGTCAAGGCTTCATCAGCTAAGGATGGGTAAGGCTTTAACCGTAGACTAATGTCGATCACCTCTTCTTCTTTCTGTCTTCGCACTCGAGCCTTCCACTCTCGTCCCAAATAGGTTCAGTCAAAAATCTATAGAGATTACGCGTTCGACATGGGACAAATCAGCACTCTCGATGCACTGAACTCGATCTTGGACAGGTATCGGGTATCAACGTCTTAACGCGGTTGCGCCCGATCCCTAGATGGACTTGATGATCGGAACTCTGGGTGGATACTTTGGGGAGGAGGTATTACTCTGAGTACCTAGGTGGTAACAAGACTCCACGTATCCTTAGACGCGTACTGTGTGCTCAGGTCTCCTGTCTGGAACCAGGGTCGTAATCCACATGGTAGGGGTGGAATACATTGACCGAAAACGATGGAGAATCATGGGAAAGTCATTGCACGAAGCATAAGAGTGGGAGCTGCGGCTTTCCTTCTCTTCAACCAGTCACTTATCGATACCACCGCTACTTTCATTACAGGCTCCAGAATACGGTCATGACGATGTTCAAGAAAACCTCACCCCTCTTCTTTCTACTTCCTATTGTCCAAGTGGCCAGCGCTCAAGATGCTTGCGATGCAAGCATGCTCAACACGACCGTCAGAACGTGGCCTGTTACCTCTACAGACACCATTTTCAGCATTGCTGCCTCAACCTCGCGTGGTGTCTGCAACATTGCCCGCGCAAACCGCATGGCTGACGCAAACCTCATGGTAGCCGGCGAAACGCTTCTCATACCTGGAGAGTCCTGCGCCCAAGACATTGACAACACAACCTGCCTTGTCCCCAACATGACCTACTACGCAAGCTGCGTCCCCGGTGGTCTGCACACATATAACGCGCGCTACAACGACACTCGCGCGAGCATTGCGCTCAAGTTTCAAGTCAGCCTTGACACCATCACGACGATGGGTGTTAACGTGTCTGCGCAATCGGCAGACGCAGTCATTGCGGCCGATACGCAGATCAAGATTCCACAGTGCAGTCCCAGCCAGTGTACCGTCCAACCGTACAAGTTTACGTTTGGAACATATGTCGATTTAGCCAACGAGCTTAACACAACCGTGGGGCAGATCATGGCGTTTAATCCGACATATAACTACAGTTCCAAGACGGATGTAGATGATTCACCAATCATCTCTCTGCCCATGAACTGCAGGAATTCGACTGGGAATATCACTGTGATATCGTAGAGCATGTCTGTCGTAGGGTAGCCTGCATGCGAAGGTTGGGTGGGCCTCGTCATTAACGACTGCAATTGGAAAGATATTAGACAGCAGCATCTTCTCCTTTCGGATGGGCCCAAGCCCCAGATGGAGTTGATGACTGAAAGTCAGGCGTTTTTGCAGCCTTGGAGTACCTGGTATCTAGTCAGCACATAGGCAAGGTACGTATTGCTGTGAAATAAGGGAACCGAAAGTTCTTTGAAAGCACAACGTATTCTTACTGTAATACCTCAGGAATGCCAGAATTGAATGCAATTTCAGAGTCGAATCAATGCACAAGCATCATTCTTGCCTTTCTCTGTGTATTGTATTTGTCTTGCCTGCCATATGAAGAGTTTGGTTCTTTGCCTTTTCGAGACTCTAAGAACGCTGTATACGGTTACTCGATTTCCCAGAGTCTCCTCAAGTCCGCACCTTTATTAGACGTTTTCCATCCAGTCTCACGTTCTATCTTTGCGAGGTGCTTCAAAATTGCAAGCTTTTCAGCTGCATAACACATGTCGTCTGTACCGTCGCTCTCATCTGGTAGCCGCGAGACATCCTGCTGCATGCCTGAACCACAACCAAATGCTTGCCCAGCGATGTAAAGAAGCTGTACCTGGTTCACCCAGTTTGAGTGCGACGCATTTGTCATACTAGTACCGCATAGCTCTCTTGCGTGCCAGATAGTATTGTACACGTCAGCTCCGGTGTCCGCTTCGTCACAACATACGTGTTTCGTCCGTAGCAACAAAATGGCACCTGCATGGTAGAACGTATTCCCGCATACCGACGAGCTTCCAGTGTGCACAACGATCGGGAACGGGCTCCTTTGGCTTGCTTCCGTTCTGATGAGAGGTAGTACCTGCGTTGGACGGTATCGTCGCCAGTCCTGGAGTTCGCTCCATAGTACTTGCACGTCAGACTGACAGTTGTTGTGATATCTTGCAATCATGTTAATTATCTTCGCAAAAATAAGAGTAGTAAGATTGCAGTACGCGTCGGTATTTAGAGTAGTTGCAATTGACCATGCATTGCAGTCGTCAACCCAATCGTCGGTTGGCACCAAAGTCTGCTCTTTGAGAACAAAGGCTGCTGACACGTCTAGAAATGGATCAGTAGGAGTTAGTAACTCATTGTGGTCACAATATACCTAAACGCGCGAAAGCCCAGAAACAGGCGTTGACTAGTCCTGTGCTAGAGCCATCCCAACCTTTGTTGGTCAAATTGAAGACACAGCCTTGTAGATGACGTCTTCCGTCGCTGACATTAGAAGCCATCATTTCGTAGAGACTCAGCAGGATACAAGTGGCTAGTGTGGCTTGACCACACTGCGATGGTTCATAATGAAGTAGAGATTGCACGGCGTGTTGATATAGGCTCAGTGTAGTCTGACGCTTGTCGTTACGAAGGGCGTCAAGTTGCCGTGACGCTAAAGCCATCGCTGCGCCTGCAAACGGCTGGTTTTCAATGAGCTTATGAACGTATGATACCGTGAAGTGTCTGCTAGAATCTGTAGCCTCACACCATGTGCCCGTCTCTTGAAGATAGGCGCCGAGGAGCCTAGACTGTTCCGCTTGTGATACAGGAACAGTATCGGTTTCCAATGGCACCGCGCCAGTGACGGCTCGATAAGGCAGAGTTGAGTAGGTCGACGTACTTGATGATGAAGCATTTTCTTGGTACGTTCGATCGTTCGAGGTTGAAGAGGGGAAAGCAACGCCACCACTGTCTGCAGAAGCTTGAGTCTGAAAGGTTGCAGGAGAAGTCATAGCAAAGTTTAGATCAGACACTGTCGATCTCGTTGGGTTCAATCCTGGAATGGCGTAGTTTGCCATAGCGTCTTCTGACCGAGGTGCGGCCACCCTTGTCCTCTCAGACTCAAGAAATGTAGTAGCGGAACAGTCTTGATACTCGTGCACAATCTGATTCGTATCGTTCACGATCCGGATACTATCGACTTGCTTGTCAGGTTGACCTCGTTCTCTCTCGATGGCAAGTAGTGCAGCGCAGTGCTCGCTGGACAACTCTAGCGACCTAGACGGATGGAATGTCACCTTCAGACCCCAGCGACACTCCTCACCGCGAACCTGGCAGCCATGACACCTTGGCTGAGCTCCATCGCCTAACAAAACTTAGTAAGGAGGAAAGAAGAGAACCGTGAATGAACGCACACTTCCGCCTTCTGCGTCGACAGCACAAGCTTCATCTCGCAGTCTCAGCGTTGTGAAAGGGGATGATGACGTCGTTCCAAACTTACCATCCTAATCGAGACCGTGTTCGACTGATTTGCGCAACAATGGGTGCGTCACCTGTCATGGAAACGATGTTTTGCAATGGCGCGTTGTGTCATATAGGAAGGAAAGTGGAAGCGCCGAGGTAGGTGGAGGAGTATTGGTAAGCTCGAGAGTGCTTCGGTGTGCCTGGTTGAGAGCGGATTGCCGAAGTCGGGCCGTGGAAAAAGGGCAAGCTGAAGCGCTCGCCGACCGAAATGGGCTACCGATCAAAATAGGAAAGTGATGTAGGATGAGTCGCTCCTCGCAGATACCTTGCGCTGCTCGCATAGGCGTATCCTGTAGCCAATACAGCTCTGGACCAGCATGTAATCCACATACCGTGCGTCTCCATCTACCAGATGACTAAAGAACTGGCGGTTGCGGTTGCACCTTCGCGGATTGCATCGAAGCGTACTACAACCGTGGTGGATAGATATAAATGCATACCAACACCGTCATCAATCTGACTGCACAACACTTCCTACAATCTCCAGCATATCTCATTGTCTTCGTAATACCTTTCACGTTCCGACTTCCTACACAAACCATCCATCATGACCACACAACGTGTGTTCCGCCTGCCTCAGCGCACGTCCATTCTAGACCTCCGGGTCAACGAAGAAAAGGTGCCTGAGCCTGCCTCCCAAGAAGTCCTGATCCGAATCAAGGGCATTGCTCTCAACTTCCGCGACTTCGCCGTCGCCACTGGAAAGTACCCCTTTCCTGTCAAAGACAATGTGGTGCCCTGCTCTGACCTGTCTGGCGAGGTCGTACGTATGGGCAATCAAGTGGACGACTTCGCCGAGGGAGACAGGGTTATCGCATCCTTTGACTTGAAGACGTTATATGGTGCAATGCCGGATTGGCACCATAGCCTGGGTGGTTGCTACGATGGAGTGCTTCGAGAATATATCGCATTACCTAGCTCTGCGCTCGTTAAAGTGCCATCGACCAGCGGGCTCAGCTTCGCTCAACTTTCGGCTTTGGTATGTACGGGCACCACCGCTTGGAATGCACTTTACGGCAATAATCCTCTGAAACCTGGACAGACGGTGCTCTTTCTTGGTAAGAAGGCTTCACTCTGTGTATCACAGCCTTCACTAATAACGTTTGCAGGCACTGGTGGCGTCTCGATCACTGGTCTAATCTTAGCCAAAGCAGCAGGCGCTGTTACAATCATCACCTCTTCATCTGACGACAAGCTCGCCCAAGTCCGAAAGACGTATGGTGCCGACTACACCATCAACTACAAGTCGAATGCGAACTGGTCTCAAGAGGTGCTCAAGATCACCAACGGCCACGGTGCGGATTTTATTCTCGAGAACGGTGGAGCTGGGACGATTGCTCAAAGCATTGAGGCAGTGGCCTATGGCGGAAACATTGCCGTGATAGGGTTCCTTGCCCCATGCCCACAAGACAAGATGCCCGATGTAGCTGCGCTGGCCCTCTCCAAGGGTGCGATCGTTCGCGGCATCATGGTTGGGTCTAAGCAACAACTAGAAGATGTCACGCGTTTTGTGACTTCTAAGAACCTCAACGTGCCCGTGGAGAAGGTCTTTGGTTTTGAAAGGGAAGACGTCGTATCAGCTTTCGAGTACTTGGTGTCTGGTCAGCACATCGGCAAAGTATGCATTGTTGTGAACTGAGAGAGCCGAGGTCAATAGAAACACGATGCGTTCTTAGTGTACATACCTCAGTATCGCCAGAACTGTATGCAATTTTCAAAAGCCGCTATCTGGATTAGCTCCTATCAGTCCATCTTCCACCACCCTCTCCGGGCCTGACTCCAGCCTTCTTCTCACTGCCTGAGAACTTTGCCTCTTCTTCTTCCCACTTCTTCCGCTCTTGCCGTCTCCTTGCTGAGTAGGCACGCGAAAACCTCCAGGCTTCCGTATCTGCTAGGTTCCACTGCTCCACGGCCCCAACCACTGACTTCATGTTCCTATCCTTGCTCTTGATAGCGTCGCGCGCCTTCTTCAGGCGCTCTTGCTCCTTCTCAATCCATTTCTCGTCCGGTACATCTATACCCTCGATGGGCTTGGGAGGTTCCGGACGCGGGAAGATGATGATCTCGGACTCCTTGCTTGGTGAACTGGGCTCAGCGGTTGTGGAGGCGTTCTGTGGGAGACCGAATCCAAAAATCCAGTCCAGATCATCTTGCGTGATGCGTTCGGCTGTAAGCCACAAGGTATGCGCTGGAGCTGCTGCTACTAGCTCTTTGAACTTGAGTACACGGAACTCTTCGGTGTGTTCACTCGGAATCGACTTATCAGTTAGCTTCCGTATCCATAGATCGCGCGAAGCGCTATTGCGCAAGAAGTTGGTGTCTATCATGTCGCGTGTGTAATGCAACGAAGTGAGTGTGTAGGGGTGCGGAACGGTTCCAATCGTAAAGAACTTAGTTGTGTTCACAAACTCCGGAAATTGCTGAAGCTTCATAGACTTGTTGGCATCGCAAGGTTTGCACTTGGGCCGATTAGGAGGGCACGATTTGGGCATCGGGGAGCTTGGGCATTGTGTCAGGTTGCGCGCAATATCCGTCGTCTCGCGTAAGAGGGCAGTAGTATGTTCTGGTACTGGCTTTACAATAGCGACGCCTTCGGGGTGTTGCTCTTGCCAGGTCAGATGAAGATGTGAGTTTATGAGAGTCGCGAGTAAGTCGAGGGCCACGGCTTGAGTTGTGTTGGTAAATTTGTCGGCAACCGTCTTGTACTTGCTGGAGATGGTGGCCATGTTGTAGGATGCGATACCGTTGGCCTTGTTGTCTACTTGGATGTCCTTTGTAGACAGAAGATTGACCACTGGTCCACCCTCTTTTTTCGCTAGCTTGGAGAGCTTGTCCTTGCTCGCGGTAACATTCTTCAGCAGGTCATTGCCCATGACCTTCTTGATAGCATCGTCGACAGTCATTCGGTCTCCGAAGAAGACGGCGTTGTCCAAAGATTGAACTCTTGACAGCTTGGGGTATTCGTTTCGTCGCAAAAAGCTCAGCATGGGGTTTTCATACTCGGCCATGGGCAGTGCGAGCCAATTGACAAGAACGCCGCCGCCCATGTGTCCCCAAGCCAGCCAGCGCATAACCTCGAACTCAATCTTGGCATCCAGCTTCATGCGCTGGAACAGCTGGTATTGTGGGTGGTGCATAGCTTCAGCCCGAGACAGAACAACGGGCTTGAAGCCTTGTGCCCACCATGCTCGTCGCCATGCCAGTATGAGCCGTTGCTCTGCCGCAGACACGTCTTTGTCCTGCTTCTTCGGGACATCGTAGTAGGTGTAAACGGGCGGTCGTTCGCGTAGGGGAGGTAGTAGGGCGGTGTTCTCATCGAGGGTTACGGAGTAGGAGAAAGGGTTGCGCCACTTGAAGTCACTAAGCCATTCTATGGCACCGTAGGCACTCGCGGTAGTGCTGTTGGCCTGGACAGGCGGAGGCTTGTGGGCTGAGGGACCGAAGGGATTGGGTACAGCTGGCAGCTGGCCCAGATCAGGCACGTGGGCTTGGGGATGCTTTACAGCATCGGCCACTTGATCGTAGGTTGGGATGCTATCGCGTGACGGAGGTCCGTAAAAGGTAAAGTTGATAACGAAGAAGAACAGGACGATAAAGATGACTTGGAAACGGCGCGGGGGCATCTGCAGCGTAACGGGCCGGCCCATGAAGGTGTGCTGGATCGGCATGGCGCAACGGGAACGTGAAGGTAAAGTGAACAGAAAGCCAACTACGGTGATGCTGGCAACATGAGCTCTTGCAGGCTACTGCGAGCCGTTATCCGTGGTGGGCCTGAAGTTGCTGCTCCCAGGTATTACAGGACCCAATCAGCCTCTGGAGCGGATAAACAATTAAACGAGCGACACGAAAGCACAACACGGCGCCGCAGTTGCAAGCAGACAATAATTCGACAGCGTTGGATGACGCGTCGTGGCAGACCGATGTTTCCATTTTGGCGAGGACGGTTTGCCAGGCTAGCGTAGGGCTGATGATGCTCCCCCGGACAGACATGCGCGTCGAGCCTTCCCTAGTGGGGGTTCGCCCTAGCCGATATCGCCTGAGTCGAGCATTTTGACTGGATGCGTCATACCCGTCTATTACTTTTGATGTACAAGTCTTTGCTGTTTTCTTTTCAAACTTCACTCTCTGGGGCCTCAGGAAGACGACTTACACTGGACCCAATTTCAAACTTCTCTTCCCTTTGGCCGCACTCCAATTGGACATTTTCGATTTGTCTACGCGCATGCGCACATTCACAACGCGACCCCGCCCTATATTTCCCTGAGACATGCAGGAACAAGTACGCGCGACAATGGCTTCTCTGACCAAGGGAAGCATCCCGGACCCTACCGCAGACCTTCACTGGTCTGACTTCAAGGGACCAATTCACGACATCTTCGCCGCCAATGCTCGCAAGCACCCAGAGCGGCCATGTGTGGTTGAGACTGCCACCAGCAAGACACCAGAGCGCAAGTTCACATACAAGTACATATTCGAGGCTACTGCAGTCTTAGCCCATCATCTTGTGCAAAATGGCGTACAGAGAGGGGAAGTGGTCATGATCTTTGCCCACCGAGGTGTAGATTTAGTAGTAGCCATCATGGCTGTCCTGGCGGCAGGAGCGACCTTCTCAGTACTAGACCCGCTGTAAGTTCAACTTGCCAGATCCACCTCTACATACTGACGTCGCCTAGATACCCTCCAGACCGCCAATGTATCTACCTCGAAGTCTCCCAGCCACGCGCCCTCGTAGTCATCGACAAGGCCACGCGCGAAGCTGGTCCCCTTTCAGAGCAAGTCAGGAACTACGTCAAGGACAACCTACAACTCCGGACCGAGATCCCCGCGCTCGAGCTCAAAGACGATGGAACACTTGTCGGAGGCTCAAAGGATGGAAAGGATGTGCTGGAGGAGCAGCAGAAGCTCAAGGCCGAGCTCCCGGGCGTGCTGGTCGGTCCAGACTCGACACCCACACTTTCATTCACATCAGGATCCGAAGGAAAGCCCAAGGGTGTCAAGGGCCGTCATTTTTCGCTGACGCACTACTTCCCGTGGATGGCTGAGACCTTTGGACTGTCTGAGGACGACAAATTCACTATGCTTTCCGGAATTGCTCACGACCCAATCCAGCGAGACATCTTTACCCCACTCTTCCTTGGTGCACAGCTACTCGTACCCAGTAAGGAAGATATCCAGCATGAGAAGCTTGCCGAGTGGATGCGCAAGTATGGCGCAACCGTTACACATCTCACACCTGCCATGGGCCAAATTCTCGTTGGAGGTGCTTCGGCAGTCTTCCCCAGCCTGCACCACTCATTCTTTGTGGGTGACTTGTTGATCAAGCGCGATTGCAGGAGGTTGCAGAACTTGGCGCCAAACGTCCGCATCGTCAACATGTACGGAACCACAGAAACACAAAGAGCCGTCAGCTACTACGAGTTGCCAAGCTGTACTGAAGCACCCGAATTCCTTGACAGCATCGGTGAGGTGATCCCAGCTGGTCGTGGCATGAACAACGTCCAGCTTTTGGTAGTCAACCGCGAAGACAGGACAAAGGTTTGCAAGCCCGGCGAGAGTGGTGAAATCTACGTACGAGCTGGTGGTCTGGCCGAGGAATATTTGGGTCTGCCTGACATGACAGCCGCCAAGTTCGTCGACAACTGGTTTGTAGACCAACAGAAGTGGATAGACGAAGACAACAAAAAGGTAGAGAGTCAAGGCGCCGCTGAACCGTGGCGAGAGTTCTACAGAGGTCCACGAGACAGGCTCTACCGCTCTGGCGACCTGGGCCATTACTCAGAGGATGGAAACGTGCACTGCACAGGTCGAGTAGACTCGCAAGTGAAGATTCGAGGTTTCCGTATTGAACTGGGTGAGATTGACTCACATCTCTCTGCTCATCCTTTGGTGCGCGAAAACGTCACATTGTTGAAACGCGATGCCTACGAGGAGCCAACACTCGTCAGTAAGTCTCAACTCTCTCTGCAGTTTTGACCATGACTAATATCACAGGCTACATCGTCCCCGAGATGAAGCGTTGGTACGACTGGCTTGAAGAGCGTGGTGCAAAAGACAGCGATTCTGCAGACGACACTAGTATGGTCACATTGCTGAAGCGCTTCAAGTATCTACGAGATGACGTGCGAGAGCATCTCAAGAAGAAGCTCCCCGCATATGCCGTGCCATCGATCATTGTTCCACTCATTCGATTTCCGCTGAACCCGAACGGCAAGATCGACCGACCAGCGTTGCCATTCCCAGAACCAGCACATCTAGCAGCTGCTGGTGCAAGACGTCCTTCACAGTTAGGCGCAGCTTTGACGCCAACTGAGAAGAAGATGGCCAGTATCTGGGCAGAGCTCCTTGGCGATCGCGGTGTAACGGCCGATGGTATCGGTGGAAGTGACTCCTTCTTCGACCTCGGCGGACACAGTATCATCGCACAACAGCTGTTCTTCAAGATCCGACAAGAGTGGAAAGACATCGATGTGCCTATGACTACCATCTTCCAATACCCCACATTACGCGGCTTCTCAGCAAACATCGACCAGGCAATGGATCCTATCGGTCTACGCCTGGATACTGCCGAGGCCATCGACGACGACCCAGAAGACGAAGCATACTCTGCTGATGCCAGAGAACTCGCTAACCAATTGACCGAATTCAAGACCAGGGAACCGTTGAACCCGAAGGAAGAGGTGCATACTTTCCTCACTGGTGCGACAGGTTTCTTGGGAGCCTACATTCTACGAGACATCTTGTCTAGACCTGGAAAAGTCACGGTGCTTGTACGTGCGAAAGATATTGACGCTGCACTTGGACGTGTCAGGCAGACGTGTTCTGCATACGGTATCTGGGAAGATAGCTGGGAATCGCGCCTAGAGCCACTCGTCGGAGACCTTGAGAAAGAATATTTCGGCCTTGAACCAAACACGTGGAACAAACTCGCAGACTCCGTCGACGTTGTGATTCACAACGGCGCATTGGTACATTGGGTATTGCCGTACTCACGTCTCCGAGGGCCCAACGTCATATCCACTATGACTGCACTTTCAATGTGTGCTGCGGGCAAACCCAAGAACTTCGGCCTTGTCAGCTCAACATCAGTACTTGACACAGACTACTTCGTGAAGTTGTCTGAGAAGAGTCTGGCGAACGGTGGTACAGGTGTCCCCGAAGAAGATGACTTGGAAGGTGCCCGCAAGGGCTTAGGAACCGGTTATGGTCAATCCAAGTGGGCAGCTGAGTACCTCACACGAAAGGCCGGTCAGAAAGGTTTGAGTGGATGCGTAATCCGTCCCGGCTACGTTTTGGGAGATCCAGAGTACGGCACCACCAATACGGACGACTTCCTCGTGCGTATTCTCAAGGGCTGCATCCAACTCAAATCTCGACCCGACATCACAAACACTATCAATATGGTTCCTGTGACTCACGTCGCGCGCGTCGTTGTAGCGTCCTCGTTCAATCCACCTATAGCACCGCTCGGGGTTGCGCAAATCACCTCCCATCCTCGTATCACCTTCAACGAGTTCCTGGGCGCTCTCGAAAACTTTGGCTACAATGTTCCTCTCGTCACATACTCAGAGTGGAAGCAAAACATGGAAGCCTATGTCTCAGACCGCTCCGGTACGAAAGAAGAGAACGCTCTGTTACCGTTATACCATTTTGTGACTGGAGATCTGCCTGCTGATACCAAGGCACCTGAGCTTGACGATATGAACGCGACAGAAGCTCTCAAGAAGGACCAAACATGGACAGGTCAAGATTGGAGCCAGGGTGGTGCGGTAACAGAAGACACTGTAGGTGTCTATGTCAGTTACCTGATCGAGCTCGGTTTCATGCCCAAGCCAGAGAAGAAGGGCATCAAAGAGCTGGTGATGAGTCGGTTGACAGACGCTATGCGGGAAGGTATGAAACTGGTTGGTGGTCGGAGGGGTGTCTAGGTCATTTCTACCAAAATTTTGGACTGCGGCGTCACTGCGCATTGGGGGTCTATCTAGTAAGGGCCACGATCTCCGCTACCAGATGCTAGAAAAGGCAAAGATACATAGATGTTTTATCTAACCGACAAGTACTGCATTAGATTATCTGCAGAATTTAGTCTGGAATTCTTGGAGTATCATATCTGGTTGCAGTGAGGTCATTGCGACTGAACCGTTCTTTGTTGATGCTGATGTATGCGTTCCTTCTATCGCGGCTTCCAATCACATTGAGTGGCATCACAGCCATCGCCGATACAACAATACTTCGCACAAACGCTATCTTACATCCCTCGCACTGTACGCCGACGATTGCCTCTGCGTTTCGCATCTCTTACCAACAACATACCCGGCACGTCGCAAGCATCGTCCGCGAGGCGGGACAAAACTCCGCAACTCGTCGATGTGATCGCCATGCCGTATATTACCACCGGCTGTGGCTGCAGCTATAGCAGAACGCCTATCGCAACGTGGCTCATGTATTCGATGCGAAGGAGCATGTCATGAATGCAACTGTACATACAAATCGACGTCACTGATAGCACTTCCAGCTCACCGTCGGAATCTGCCATGTGTAGGCAGTACCAAAGGTACGGTAGGTTCAGTCCGGTCGCTGGTGTTGTACGATTAAAGTGCGAACAACATGCCGAGAATGCGACGGACTAACCAAAACAAAAGCAAATCACACGATAGATATCGATCCAGCATCTGCCAGGACACCTGGCGCCGTCAACAGAGTATCTGAGCTTCTCATGTGCCAACGCCAAGATCACGATCAGCAAGACCAACTTCGTTTCAGCCACGCTTGGAGGCCGGATTCAGACTCAGCAAAGCAAAATGCACCTACTTCCGCCAACAAGCGCTATCAAATGCACTCCGCCGCCTCCGACTTGGTCTCGCGGTACGACACGAGAGTGCTCGCGACGTTGCACCGCGGGACCGCAACCCGCCGCGTCTTCCTGTCCCCAACTAGCGTCTAGGCAGGTTGGAGAAGCGTCCTGGATTTATCTCGAGAGTCGTGTCTGTGGTACACAGGCCCAAGATCCGCAGGTTCAATATTTCCTAGGCACATCATCACGCAGCCAGCGGACGCCCTAGACGGACCGTGGTAGCGCATGTTACCGGCTTGGCGTGTTTTCAGAGGACATTGCACAAGACAGTGAGCACCACCATGCGGCGGTCCGTTTGCTCAGCGTTTCTCAGCATCGTCGGCGCAGGCCAAGACAAAAGGTAGAGGTGATGAGGATGAAAGCTGGGGCTCCAGCACCAGGATAGGTCGCTGCCGCGAATTCCGTCCTCGGCCTCAGAGGCGCCTGGATGAGAGTTGCGCTGGGTCACCCATGCGAGCCGTGATTGGCCGTCCCCGTCTTGCGATGCTCTGCCCAGCCGCAATGCCGAGCCTTGGGGATGAAAGCCAAGCCCAAGACCTTCTCCCAAGGTCTTGAGAGCGTAATTGTATGTAACAAGAGTCTTGCCTCTCCTGAGGGAAGCCTCCGCCTCTTCTATAACATGCCCGGCACCTCATCGACTTCGCATGTCTCCAAGGGTCGTCTAAAGCCCGTCCAGCAGTGACGCCGCCCACCAATTAACTGCAATGGAATCCCAGCGTCCGCCGGTGCCATGTTCGGCCACATCCCCCCAGCAGAGCCAACCCCAGCGCCAGCTCTCGACGAACGCTTCATCCGACGAATACAACTACGCATACAACGAGAAAGAGCCATATCAGCGACAGCACAGCATCCGAACAGACCGTCATAGCAAGTCGAGTTTTGGCCGTGGCCATGATTCTGTCATCTCGTCGCACCCATTCTCGCCAAAGGCCTCCTCTGCGCCAAGCCCAACCAGCAGCATCTCCTCGATAGGTCAACAACGCAACTCAACACCCGAGATCCGATATTCCAGATCGGACATAGAACAAAACAACATACAATATCCCCAACAAGCGCATCTTGATCCTGAGAAGCATGGCTACGGTTCGTCGCACGACGGCCGATCTCCGAACCGCGCGTCTGCGGCAAGACTGGACAGCGACGCGATCGTCTACGACAAAGGCGCATTCCATGAGAAAGGTCCAGAAGAAAAAGCATGGCAGTTGTTGGTATGTGAACCATCGTCTCTAGGTCGTCAACAGCATGGCTAACAAACATCTAGTTTTGGCTCTGCGGCCCATGTGCCTTTCTCTCCGGCGCCATCGCTCTCTGGACCATCCTCGCTCTCCTGATCTCGATCGTACTAGCCCCCCTGCGATTCTGCACTACCCGCCCACCATTTTCGGCACAAATCACCGCCTTCCTCGCACCAGCGCTGAACCTTCAACTACACTTGGTCTATTCCCACGACTCAACAACCGGCTACAGCGCGCCCATGCTCGTCGTCGTCCATCTCTTTTCGCCAGTCGTTGCATTTGGTGTCGCGATAGCTGCATGGACGGCGGCTGGATTCTGGTTTTTCTCGTCCATCTTAGGAGACCCTGGAGGTCACGACGGGCACAACGATGGTAAAGAGACTATCGTCAGTGTGCGGAACTGGTGGGAACGATGGCTCTCGAGGGGACTACGCGAGACCAATGTTTGAAGAGGAGGCTATCACTGCAGCGACGAGTTTTTGTTTTTTCCGTTCGGCCCATGACGGCACGAACGATGTTTAAGCGGCATATACCATGGCGTACTTTTTGTTTTGAAGGGCAACGGACATGATGGGAATGCTGATCTGGGACGACAGCACGGCGTTACTGGACCTCTCTATACGAAGAGCAGGAGAGCGGTTGGAGCTCGACATGATATACCCCATTTTACTCGAATTATACCAAACTTCCTACACAATGACTTCTCCATTTTGCAAAAGTTCGTTTCAAGCAGTAGTCTCATTCACGTGAACGCGCCTCGTACGAGACACTTTGCTAGTCCAATTTTCCAAGCAGGCAGACCACGCTCCCAAGCCACTATCCAAGGAGCCAGACTGGCGCACACGCACACATACTCTGCCCCCCCTCACGAAGCTTCGAAGAACGCCACACGCGGACACAAGGCTCCTGGCATAGTCCTGGGCACCATACAGCGGAATTCTCTCTACCCCGACCGCCCGATCCAATCCATGCTAAGCACATAAGATGGCGGAATAGCGGAGCGGTGAAAACCAAACTTTACTTGCTCGTCTTCACCGCAACACGCGCACTCTCAACTCTTGCGGCAAACCTGCCGTCCAAGACGTTGCCAATCCCGCCCAGTTTCCGCCGCGGATTGACAACTTTGTGCCATGCCTCTACAGTCTCCGCTCGGCCTTGTGTTTGTACAAAAGAAAAGCTGCTGGAAAAGCATTCATCATGGATAGAGGAAGTCGTAAGCGGAGTGCGTGTACCCTGATCAAACCCGAGTGTCCGTGTACGACAACTGTGTACAATATGTTGTACATTCTATGCCGGTCCGATATGCCATACGCACGCACACACACTCCCTTCCAACCAGGCATACCATGAATGTCACGAAGTAGTCGATGCCGCAGAACCAAGACGTAAGCGGAGAATCTCCTTCTCGTAAAGGAACGTGAGCGGAATAATCACGCCCTAGGGATCTGCCAGACAGTAAGAAGCCAAGTCGGGTTATTGTGGATTTCGCCGAGCATCGTTTCAGATAGTTTGCGCGTCACGTTCATCTTCCTGAGCAAAGACAGAGATGAACGGATACAAGACGGGTAGGTCGGCTACATGTTGGCCTGGGCCCCTGGGTAGGGTATGTGTAGATCATGGATGTTGCGGGTATGCAGTTGCCAGCACCCGTTTCTCGGGACAGGTAGGTGATAAAATCTGAAGGGTGAGTAATTAGCTCATTTTGCTTGAGGCTACTATTGCCTGAAAACACAAGTACTAGCTATAGCAAATCTAGCCAAGGCACAACAATGTTACACTGAGGAAAAGGCCCGAGGGAGATAATGTTTTTCGGTCCTTCTCTTTTTCCTTTTGTATAGTCATGCCTTGATGACTATCGTGGCCCCCCAATATGAAACTTGATAGATCTGACGTGTGTCTGGGCAAACGGGTATCACGGCGTGCGTGGTTTATGCGACGGAATGACCAACACTCAATTTTGACGATGAAGCGATTCTTAGGTGGAAAAGTGCTTTTGATGTTCAAGTTGCGCATCGATCAGTATTGAGGCTTGGAAGACATGATGCTCTCCTTCATGATGGTGTAAATGCGCAATAGATTTGGCATTGCACTGCAACTGTATGGTCATTTGTATCGTGCTATGCTACGATCTCGAAGTATTTATAAAAAGACATTACGACATTAGACGTGACAGTATAGACGTGTGTGTACAGAGAAAGCGTGCATAGCACAAGAAGAAAAGTATGAAAAGCAAAGCAAAGCGCCGTCCGCGTTCGTATAAAGGCTTCGCCTTTTGAGCAGAACATGTTTGCGGGGCGCGAGACGCTATGTGTAGGGTCTCTATCGTGGCGTTTGAACTCGAATATGTGGCTGGCAATAGCAATGGGCGTGTTCGTGTCGTAACCTCGCGTGATGCTGATGTGTGTATGTTCCTCGCATGTAGTCGTCTTTGTATCGCAACTCATGGTGTAGTTCGTAAGTTGTTCTGTGGCATCGCGTTCTGAAAGTTTCAATCGCCTTCTCTCGAATGTACTTGTCGTATAGTGATCTGACTCCTCATCTTCTTGTGGCCTCTGCCCCGCATCGTCTCTCTCGCTATGCAATTCTTTAGACACTGCTCAACGACTGAAGGATCGCTCTCTAGGAACTGCTCGTTCAGGAACCAGCTTGAGCTTCTTTGTACGGACAGTCGCAAGCAACTCCTCTCACTGCCGATCTGCTTCTGGAAAAAGTGGTCGAGGAAGGCGTATGAATCGTCGAAGGTTTTGTAGCAGCTATTACACGCGAAATTCGCTTTGTCGTCGGTCGCCATTGGGTCCAAGGCAATATGCGAGGTGAAGAGGATACATCTGTACGCAGGGAGTCCAGAGTGAGAAGCGACGGAGATGCATGCATCGCATTCCGGGCAGATCTCCCGGTCATCGTACTTGTCGTGGGGGAAAGCCCTCTTTGCGCGCAATGTGCTCGATTTGGATTGCTTGAGATCTTTCCGAAGTTTGTCTGCGAAAGGACAGAACTCCACTTTGAAACGTGGGGGAGGCAGAACAGGTGATAGGATCGGTGATTCGAGACGTGCGTATTGCTCGCGCAGCGCAGTAAGACAGGCGCGGCGGGTACTTTTAGCAATCATGATTATATCGTCGATGGGTATTATTGGTGTTGAGGAGAAAACGCTTTCGTAAAGTGGTTGTCTAATTTCGTACTGGATTCGCAGGAGTTGCGCAGAGAGGATGGTATTGCATTTTGCTGCAGATAGTCAGTCCCTGCAACTTCCGTATCGAATGTTGCACTTACTGTCGCCTTCCTCAAACCGTGCGCCAAATCGTTCTTTGCCTTGTTCCATGATCCTCTGGACCTGCCGTCCCAGGCTTAGAGCTTTGCCGACCGCATCGTCTCGGTTCTTTGTGCCAAAACACGCCCACTTGGACCGCGTGCGACGGTGGCGTGCTTGCCATTGCTCGTACGCCTCATGCGCATCTTGAAATTCGCGATCAATATCCCATAGCGTAAGATTGGTGTGTTGCGGCTTATCCCAGGAAACAGCCATCGTAGACATTATGAAGTATGCGTGTATAGACTCGTCGAAAACAAACAAACAAACAAACAAGAGAAGGAGGGGAAAGCGAGCGACAGAAGGTGAGTTTCAGAAGAGAACAACTATTCTTAATTAAGGATGAGGTTGGCCGTATTGGGAAGCGTACCAAACTCGCACGATCTCGATTAAGACGCGGAAACCTGAAAACGCGATGGCTCTGAGGAAAACAGGGTCCACAGGTCTGCGGGTGCTGCGCTGGCTTTACATACTCGTCGGTTGGCGCAAGATAGTGCGTCATGTGTCCTGCAGGTACCAGGGCTATCGCATAGGGAGACTTGCAATTCTGGAAATTAATTGCCTATCCATTGTCGTGGCTGTGTGGCGGGTCTGGGCGATATTGAAGGATGGAAGAAGCGAAAGTTGCTCCGCTGTTACATAGCATCCTTCATGCCAGACTGCCAGTGCGTACGCAGTTTCACCTGCAGTATTGATGAGGAACGACAGGTCCATGTGGGAACATGCTGGTCCGTGAAATTCGAAGAACCAAACTATAGCTGGTCCCCATATGATGGGTGCCGAGGATCGTGATGAAGACGCAGGGGCAGGAAGGGGACGCAAGCTGAAAAACAGCAATGATCCCTCCGCGCCATGGTCCGAGCACTCCCATATCCTCGGTTCAGGGCGCCTTCGTCGAGTCGTGGCGCGCTACGGTAATGACAATCATCTTCGCATTGAGTTGGTCTTTAATACGGTCGTCGAGATTTATTTATGCAAAAGGCGTATCGTCGACTGTCAGCCTATAATCGGTGTTATTGATTGAAGCTTCGCTACCAGGGTCGCGCCGAATCGAACCCCACGTCTCTCGTCGCGTCTGCCCCACCATGGAGAACCTCAAGCTCTCCTCTTGCTTGCTGGCACACTCTCTGCCAATCGACAGTCACAATCCTGGTTCAATATAACAATGTCCCACAGCCACTCACATGAAGGCGCGTCGCATTCGCACGCTGCCGCAGATCACGGTCATACACATGAGATCCTCGATGGACCAGGAAGCTACCTGGGGCGCGAGCTGCCCATAATTGAAGGAAGAGACTGGGAAGACCGATCTTTCACCATTGGAATTGGAGGGTACGATGGACCCCGTGTGACATGCAGACATCCCTATACTGCTCGGCCGACGTCTGGCAGTTGCAGGGTTGACATGGCAAGATATACGCACAAGACACTGACCAGCCTAGACCCGTAGGTTCCGGAAAGACGGCGCTCATGCTAGCCCTCTGCAAACACCTCCGAACGCGATTCTCTATAGCTGCAGTAACAAACGATATCTTCACCCGGGAAGACTGCGAGTTTCTGACCAAGAACAATGCCTTGCCCGCGTAAGAACAACCATGCGTCATCTTTCCATGGTGAGTACAGGTCTGACGTCCTAACAGTGAGCGCATTGTCGCTGTCGAAACAGGAGGTTGCCCCCATGCCGCTGTGCGCGAAGACATCTCCGTCAACCTCATGACCCTCACAAACCTACACCAGAAGTTCAACACCGACCTCCTCCTCATTGAGTCCGGCGGCGACAACCTCGCTGCAAACTACTCGCGCGAACTTGCTGACTTCATCATATATGTCATCGATGTATCGGGCGGTGACAAGATTCCCAGGAAGGGTGGACCAGGCATCACGCAATCAGACCTGCTGGTCGTGAACAAGATCGACCTCGCCGAGGCTGTCGGCGCCGACCTGGACGTCATGGATCGGGATAGCAGAAGAATGCGCGAGGGTGGCCCTACCATCTTCGCTGTGGTCAAAAGGGACGAGGGTGTGGATGCTATTGTCGACTTGATCCTGTCTGCATGGAAGGCTTCAGGTGCAGGCCAGGCAAGGAAGGACAAGTTCGAGCCTACGCTGATGCAATAGAGTCAAGAGACGATCCCACGG